ACGACGCTCTTCCGATCTCCCCAAAACCCCAAAACCCCTTCAAGAGATATCTTTAGGGATAAATCTTAAATTAAGATATAGATAAATTTAATAATGGAATCTTCGTAGGAATAGTTTGTCCTCACTATTGATTAGGTATAATAATAAGCATAATTTCAAATATATAGGGGACCACATCATCAAGAGTGCTGGTTATCAATCATAATCTCAAGGTGCTTGATGTTGAATAAAGAGAGCATTAGCAGATAGCTCTACATCCTGGATGGAATGAACATGATCCTGAGGCGATTTACTCTAACGTTGTCATTTGCTTGGAGGAGGTTAGCAAAAGAAACAATCTATCAAGTCAAAATGTGAAGGCTATTGGCATTACTAATTAAAGAGAAACAGTGGTAGCTTTTGACAGAGAAACTGGCAAAGCATTGTACAATGCTATTGTATGGAATGATAAGCGCACCTCTGACGTAGTCAAGCAATTCTCTGACAAGAACAATGGAAATCTTGATGTCTATAGAGAAGTCTGTGGCCTCCCAATCAACACATATTTCTCTGCAGTAAAAATGAGATGGCTTTTAGACCATGTTGAAGCAGTCAGAGATGCCCATGAAAAAGGAACACTAGTATTAGGAACTATTGATACTTGGCTAATATATGTATTTCTAATGACATTATAGTAATTGAATTCTTTAGAAACTAACCTCAGGCAAGCATATTTTAACTGACTCTAGTAATGCGAGCAGAACTATGCTGATGGATATACATTAATTGCAATGGAGTGACTTTATGCTAGGAGAATTCGGTATTAAGAAGGAGTGTCTTCCTGAGATTAGAGTGTCTTCATCAGATAACTATGGTGAAATCTCTACTATTGCCTGTGTTAATGGAGTTCAAATTACTGGGTATTTATCTAAATCATTGATAATGTCATAGAGTAATTGGAGATCAGCAGTCAGCATGCTTAGGACATTTACTTAAAGTAGGAGAAGTCAAGAATACATATGGAACTGGCTGCTTCATACTTAAGAATGTGGGGGCTAAGCCAGTGCAGTCAACTCATGGTCTTCTAACAACTCTATGCTACTCTTTAGGAGAGGGCTAAACCTACTACGCTTTGGAGGGCGCTGTAGAGGTAGCTGGCGCAGCAATCTAATGGGCTAAATCAGTAGGACTGCTTGGAGCAGTTAAGGAGCTTGAGAGTCTATGCTACTCTGTAGATGATTGTGGCGATGTTTACTTTGTGCCAGCATTCAATGGAATATTCTCACCTTACTGGAGAGATGATGCCAGAGGTTTGATGATTGGAATCAGCTTAAACACTACCAAGGGTCACATTGCTAGAGCCATTCTAGAAGCGCCTTGCTTGAGAACAGCTGAGGTAGTGACAGCTATGGCCAAGGATAGTGGGTACTAGGTAACAAAGATGAATGTAGATGGTGGAATGAGTGTCAATAACTTTGTTCTTCAATCTTAAGCAGATTTTACAAACGTTGAAATAGTAAGAAAGAAAGAGAGTGAGATTACTGGAATTGGAGCAGCCATTGCAGCAGGATTGAAAGTAGGCTTTTGGGCTAATATTGAAGAAGTTGAAAAGAAGATTGAGATTGATAGATCTTTTAAGAGTGATATAACAGAGAGCTAGAGAGATAAGAAGCTCAAGAGATGGTAATAGGCTGTTGAGAGAAGTCTCGGCTTCGGCTGGGCTGAAACCGAGGAAGCAGTTTAATGATTAATAGTCTGGATTATTAAATTACGATACTGATTGAATAATATTACCATAATATTTGAAATATAGAGTGAATCTGGGGTTTTGGGGTTTTGGGGTTTTGGGG